GGCTCCACAAACAGGGCTTAGACTAAGACCGAACTTGCTCTTAAATTTAAATGACAGTTTTTATAAAAATTAAAAACACATTACTGTGTGCATCTTGAGACCACGGTGACGCATTGCTGCCAAACACATATTTTTTTCCCACTCAGCTATGTTGTTATACCGATCTTTTTTCGTAAAATGGACATCTTAACATTGATGTATTTCTTCATTATTTGTGTACTTTACATAAATGATTTAAAATATGGGTAAATTCTCACCTGTAGTAAGTCAGTTTTGCCTCTAAGAATGTGCTACACACTTTAGAATGAGAATATTACATTTAGGTGAATTGCTGTAAATATTTAAATATTAGTTTTAATATACTAATATATTTAAATATTAGTGTGATGTACATACATGAAGGGAAAATTTGTCATTTATAATAATTGGTAATCTCACAAGTCAGTCTGACCTCTGTGAATAAGCTATAACCTTTGCTGTGAGAAAAAAAAAAAAAAACATTTAAGTGATATATGTATATATACATATGTATGTATTTTTTACTACTCGCCGGCAGCTATCTCTCTGCAACTCTCACATAATCACCCACTGAAGCTAAGCAGGGCTGCACCCGGTCAGTACCTGGATGGGAGACCACATGGGAAAGCTAGGTTGCAGCTGGAAGCGGTGTTAGTGAGGCCAGCAGGGGGTGCTCAACCTGCAGTCTGTGTGGGTCCTAATGCCCCAGTATAGTGACGGGGACTCTATACTGCTCACTGAGTGCTGTCTTTTGAATGAGACGTTAAACTGAGGTCCTGACTCTCTGTACTCATTAAAAATCCCAGGATGTCCTTCGAAAATGAGTAGCGGTTTAACTCTGGCATCCTTGCCAATTCTGCCCACTAGCTTCTGTCTATCATGGCCTCCTAACCCTCCCTATGTCATAATTGGCTTCATCACTCTGTCTCCTCTCCACCAGTCAGCTGCTATGTGGTGTGCGGTCTGGTGCAAAATGGCTGTCGTCGTGTCATCCAGGTGGATGCTGCACAATGGTGGTGGATGAGGAGATCCCCCTATTGTGTAAAGCACCTTGAGTGCCCAGAAAAGCGCTATATAAATGTAAAGACTTATTATTATTATTATTATTACTTGTACTTATGATGAGAGGTATTGCCAATCTCTACTTGTGTACAGTATAGTTATGAAGAGACAGTCACTTTCCTGTAGTTCATCAACCTGTATGCTTAGTAGTTGGCCGGCGGTGTGCAGGAATTACACTTATTACTAAGCCATATACTTACATGCTATTTTTGTGGGAATGGATGCACAGATGTTCAAATCGACAATATTTGATTGGATGAACATTTTTTTGTTTAATGACTTACCCAGAACATAAAAAATACATAAAACATTTAGGTCATTTACTTTAATCAATACTATTGGAATGTGAAGAGACTTTTAACCACAACCAGCACAACAAAGATATTTCTGAAGACAATCACCTACACCTTTAAACCAACTTTACCGAGCTTTTATTATTATTATTATTTTATTATTATGTGTAAAGTAAGACTAAACAAATACAGTACATTATGGAGAAGATGGAGAAACAAAAAGAAAACATTTTGAAAAAAAAAAAAAACAAAACAAAAAAAAAAAAACAGAAGCTGTATAAACATCTCTCATTAAAGAAAAAGATTATAAAATTTACAAATTTCAGATGTTTTTAAAGCCTTTTTTGTAAAGGAGTTAGACATAAATATATAAAAACGGTTTTAAGTTTGAAAATGTAACATTTTCAATTTTACATTTAAATTTACATTTATATATATATATATATATATATATATATATATATATATATATATATATATATATATATATATATATATAGTATTTGCTGAACATTTCCAGTTAAATGCATAACAAGTCTTACAATATTACAAATTTTAGCACAACATGTATAAACAAAGTAACAAAAAAGAAAAAACAAATAAAGAACAAGAGCGGGTATACATAACATTCACCATAGAGAAGAGGAGTTTAGCTTTTTAAGTATATTCACAGTTCTGGTCGCAGTACATTACGACTTGAAAGTCCTTTAAGAGTCTCAAAACAAAATTTTTAAATCAGCCTTAAAACAGAAAATGTTAGGCTTCCTCTTCAACCATTCACACTTGTGTATATGTAACTTGCCCAATTATATCAACAGATTTAACATAAACAGGATATTCTTATCTATTTCTTTTTATCTATATAAAATATGACATCTCTTTTCTTAATAATAATTCTATGACCACTAAGTATATTAAATAGACATTCAACATCAAACCAGAAATGTTTAACATACATACAATCAAAAAAAAAAAAAAAAAAAGCATAACAGTCTCAACATCCATTCCACAAAAAACACACGATTTAGAAAGATCAACTTGACTATGCTAAATAAAACTTTACAGAGCCTTCTTCAGTGACGTCACTCGCTCCACTGAGTGCTGACATCTCTCTGCAGTATCCAGAAACTATTGGAGATATTTGAGCAAGTTGTTCACACAGCTTGGAACCATCGATTTTACAACAGAGTTAATAACGCGCGGAATTAACTTCTCGTTAGCGCGGTTCTCGTGTACTTCTGGTCATTTATAGTTCAGCAGGCAACATGTGTACCATCAGGGCCCTGATCGGCAGGTAACACTTTCCCCACTGAAAGTATCAAAACACTTATGTATTTATGCAGGGGGTGCAGAATTATTAGGCAAATGAGTATTTTGACCACATCATCCTCTTTATGGATGTTGTCTTACTCCAAGCTGTATAGGCTCGAAAGCCTACTACCAATAAAGAATATTAGGTGATGTGCATCTCTGTAATGAGAAGGGATGTGGTCTAATGACATCAACACCCTATATCAGGTGTGCATAATTATTAGGCAACTTCCTTTCCTTTGGCAAAATGGGTCAAAAGAAGGACTTGACAGGCTCAGAAAAGTCAAAAATAGTGAGATATCTTGCAGAGGGATGCAGTACTCTTAAAATTGCAAAGCTTCTGAAGCGTGATCATCGAACAATCAAGCGTTTCATTCAAAATAGTCAACAGGGTCGCAAAAAGCATATGGAAAAACAAAGGCACAAAATAGCTGCCCATGAACTGAGAAAAGTCAAGCGTGCAGCTGCCAAGATGCCACTTGCCACCAGTTTGGCCATATTTCAGAGCTGCAACATCACTGGAGTGCCCAAAAGCACAAGGTGTGCAATACTCAGAAACATGGCCAAGGTAAGAAAGGCTGAAAGACGACCACTAAACAAGACACACAAGCTGAAATGTCAAGACTGGGCCAAGAAATATCTCAAGACTGATTTTTCTAAGGTTTTATGGACTGATAAAATGAGAGTGAGTCTTGATGGGCTAGATGGATGGGCCCGTGGCTAGATTGGTAAAGGGCAGAGAGCTCCAGTCCAACTCAGACGCCGGCAAGGTGGAGGTGGAGTACTGGTTTGGGCTGGTATCATCAAAGATGAGCTTGTGGGGCCTTTTCAGGTTGAGGATGGAGTCAAGCTCAACTCCCAGTCCTATTGCCAGTTTCTGGAAGACACCCTCATCAAGCAGTGGTACAGGAAGAAGTCTGCATCCTTCAAGAAAAACATGATTTTCATGCAGGACAATGCTCCATCACACGCATCCAAGTACTCCACAGCGTGGCTGGCCAGAAAGGGTATAAAAGAAGAAAAACTAATGACATGGCCTACTTGTTCACCTGATTTGAACCCCATTGAGAACCTGTGGTCCATCATCAAATGTGAGATTTACAAAGAGGAAAAACAGTACACCTCTCTGAACAGTGTCTGGTAGGCTGTGGTTGCTGCTGCACGCAATGTTGATGGTGAACAGATCAGAACACTGACAGAATCCATGGATGGCAGGCTTTTGAGTGTCCTTGCAAAAAAAGGTGGCTATATTGGTCACTAATTAGTTTTTGTTTTGTTTTTGAATGTCAGAAATGTATATTTGTGAACGTGGAGATGTTATATTGGTTTCACTGGTAAAAATAAATAATTGAAATGGGTAAATATTTGTTTTTTGTTAAGTTGCCTAATAATTATGAACAGTAATAGTCACCTGCACACAGAGATTTCCCCCTAAAATAGCTAAAACTAAAAACAAACTAAAAACTACTTCCAAAAATATTCAGCTTTGATATTAATGAGTTTTTGTGGTTCATTGAGAACATGGTTGTTGTTCAATAATAAAATGATTCCTCAAAAATACAACTTGCCTAATAATTCTGCACTCCCTGTAGATTCATATTTTATAAGGTTTATAATTATATGGTCAAACTGATATATAATACAATTAAATATAGTTTAAATAAGTGTATACAATAAAACGAATTAACTCATTGTATGTGATGCTTTTCTCTCGTAATTGAACGTATTTTTAGCATGTTTTACTTCATGTATGCAAAGTTTCTACTTTTTATGGCACAGGCTGTTTATAAATGCAGTTATATGTATCAATTTCGTTTCTGGCTAAGCTGCAATCGTTATTACCATTAATGAGCTAAATCAAAACAAAACATTGTATACCTAATTTCAGCATTAGTTGTTGTTCACCACTAGATGGCGCACTTGTTATTACTGGAATAAATGTTAGTAGGCAAAGGAATATTTTACTTCATATTATAAACCATTTCAATGTAGTGTTGTAATTGGCCCATGAACATTTACAGCTTATTGTTAAACTATTGTATAACTATTGTATTATAACAGTGATCATAATAATATTTATCAATGTATAGATTTTTTTTTAGATTCTCAAAAGCTACTGAAATTAAAAATGTATAACAATAAATATGTTGGGACAATTGTTATTGTTTACATCCCTCAAAATTGTCTGTATTTTCCTTTTTAGGTATTGGTGGAGGAAATCTTTGAAGCATCAAAACACATTATAGTATCTCAAAGGAGAAAATACATGAATTCAGAATGACATAAAGGGGTAAGTATTCACGCATTTCCATTTGATAAAATGTGAACTGTTTATTTATTAAATCAGCTTAAATATGATACAGAGGGAAGGTTGGATATTTGTCTGAAATAAGCAGAACTTAAATTGTTAATTAGCAAAAATTACATGTAATTTTAAAACAGTCAAAACAAAGCAATTACGTAAACTAATCTTTTAATAAAGCTAAATAATGTAACAATGCTTTTTGGCATAAATAATAAAAAATGCATAGATAAAGATCTAGGAATGATATATAGACAGTTTTGCAGCATCTTCAAGGCCTTCATTAACTCAGTCATTCAATTCTTTCAGACCTGGAGAAAAGATGATCATGTATTTAGTTTTATTTTTAAAAACCAGAATAATCATTGTATTAAGATACCATAATAATGCAGGTGTTTTACCTTGCAGTCGGTTTTGAATCCAGCGTGCTTTTGGGTCAGTGCAGTACCTTTCCTTCTCTGCGTAGAAGCTGTAGGACAGAAATACAGTACTGAGATGAACACAATATTGTACATATAAAAAAACTGATATAATATACATAGAGTTGAAGTCAGAGTTATTAGCCCCTCTTAATTATTAGCCCCCGTTTATCCCCCCCCCCCCCAATTTCTGTTTAATGGAGAGAAGATATTTTTCAACAAATTTCTAAACATAATAGTTTTAGTAACTCATTTCTAATAACTGATTTATTTTATCTTTGCCATGATGACAGTAAATAATATTTTACTAGATATTTTTAAGACACTTCTATACAGCTTAAATTGACATTTAAAGGCCTAACTAGGTTAATTAGGTGAACTAGGCAGGTTAGGGTAATTAGACAAGTTATTTTATAACAATGGTTTGTTCTGTAGACTATTGGAAAAATCTAATTAGTTTAAAAGAACTAATAATTTTGTTCTTAAAATGTTTCAAAAAAAATTAAAACTGCTTTTATTTTAGCTGAAATAAAACAAACAAGACTTTCTCCAGAAGAAAAAAAATATTATCAGACATACTGCGAAGATTTCCTTGCTCTGTAAAACATCACTTGGGAAATGTAAAATAAAAAATTAAAAGGGGGCTAATAATTCTGACTTCAGCTGTATAAAGGAATGTAGACTATGAAGTGAGAACTTACATTATAGCATCAACACATGGACTCAGAGCAGGCTGATGCTTGTACGCAGTCAGTTTAATATCAGGAGGGATTCTTCCCCTGGACACTTCCTTACAGCATGTTACTCCAACTCGAGTGGGGCGACGATCTGAAAGAAATGCAGAGATTTTAATTTCCAACATCATGCTGTAGACATAGTGTAGCGTATATGTGTGAAAACGAGAAGATCGTGAGCTTGATAAGGGCACCATTAAAGAAAACAAAACCGCATAGCAGCTTAACGGCATAGTGCTGCAGTGCTTTCACTAACATTACAAGGACATTCATGCAAAAATAAACAAATTTGCAGTTATTTTTGTATTTACGCCTATTAGTAAAACTAGTATTCAGCTTAAAGTGCTAAGGCTAATTAGGTTAAGGATAGGCAAGTTGGGGTAATTAGGCAAGCGTTGTATGGTTTGTTTTGTAGACAATTGAAAAAAAAAATAGCTTAAGAGGCTAATAATATTGACCTTAAAATGTTTTTCAAAAAAAATTAAAAACTGCTTTCCATCTAGCCGTAATAAAACATTTAAGACGTTTTCCGGAAGAAAAATATTCTCGGAAATACTGAGAAAAATTTCTTGCTCTGTTAAACATCATTTGGCAAATCTTTGAAAAAGAATAAAAAATCATAATAATAAAATAATTATTTACTAATAACTCTATATATTACAGACAAAACTAAATGAATATCAGAAACGGTAAGTAAATTATCACAATATTAATTTTTGGCTTTGTTTAAACATCATTAATAGACTATTATGCCTCACGAATGCCTGTTGGTGTGAATTAAATAAAATAAATAAAAAGTTTGAGTATAACCAACCCTTAAACAATAACAATAATATTAATAATAATAATAATCAAATCCATAAATATGAATACAGAAAAGAACTTACAGTTTCCTTGCTGTGCGGTAACACAAACAAAAACCATCATCATCAGAGCTAATTTGCAGCTAAGATGCATGATGTTTTGCGAAAAAATGTTTAGATAAAGAGAAGAGGAAGAAGTCTGCAGGCAAGTATGTTTTTTTGAAGATGCTATCTAGCCCTGAGTCCTTTTATACATGTTTTTTTACAACAGGATGTGCATCTCTAGCCAGAGTAACTTCATAAGAGTCATGTGACAAACTAGCCATAAATCATGATCAAAGCAGTTTGACATCCTGTAAATGTATTTTTTTTTTATTTTCTATAAGCAGTAATACACAAAGAGACTGCATGACTGATATTGATATCTAAAATGATGCCTGTTTAGTTACTTACAGTTGGCTTGTGCTCCAGTAAAGCATCCCATTAGGGCGATCAAAACAGCAATGGTGAGTAATCTAGCAGTCCATGCCATAGTTCTTGGTGTCCAGATCAAGGTGTTTGGTGATGGTCAGCTGCGCGTGTGTTGATAATGTGAGTGCGTAATTATGAGGGGATCTTTTAAGTGTTTTACAGCAGTCAGATGGAATGAATGTGTCACAAAATGCTCCAGCATAATTCTGAAACCATTGCATCAAGTGATCATCTGCCTTCACAGGTTTTCACACTTCGCACCCACAAAACAGTCAGTTTTACGAATCAGCATAATTTATGAGAAACCAATATCCCCCCAGAAGAAAAATAAACTAACAAACCACAATGGCACGTAGGTTTTAATTTGTGTTAACTAAACAACACGTATACTGCTTGAAATAAAATAAATGTTTACTTTATTAGAAATGTTTTTTTTATTAAAACGTAATCGCTTATTTTATTTGTTTCAGTTCATGTACTAGAATAGCTAAAACTAAAATAAACAAAAACTAGATAAAGTAGATAAAATTATGAAAATATAAAATAGAATATATAAAACTGATATAAAGCTGATATGTATGGTTTTCCCTTTACACCCAACCCAGAAATGTGGGTACTCTGGTTCTCTGCCGGATTATAATGTGCCCATACAAAATCATAATTTATTAAATGATTATTGCTAAGAGTGTCTTTCTGAAACTCCGGAAATCAGACTCTGTTCCTCAATTTAAGACATGGTTAAATCATCTCATTCAAATATTGCACATGGAAAGAGTCCACTATGGAGTTACTGATAATCTTGATAGGCTTTACAATATATGGCAATTATTTCTTGATCACCTGGACCAAATATAATGCGGATTCTGAGCAGTGGTGTGATGCTATTCTCACTACCCTATTAACTGCCTCTGTATTTTCGTTGAAACCTTTTATGTTTATATGCCCTATTTTTTTAAATAACTTATTTATTATTAATTTATTTTTAATTATTATTATTATTATTATTATTATTATTATCAGCATTATTTTGGTTGTAGTATCATGATTATTTCGTGTATTTAATTTTTTTATTTTTGTTGTGTTGCTTGGTAATTATTAAAAAAATGTAAAACAAATAAAAACACTTGTTAAAAACTGCAATACTGTTTGAGAAATAATAGTAATAATAGTAATAGTAATAACAACAACAACAACAACAACAACAATAACAACAACAAATACTACTACTAATAATATATAAATGAATTAACAATAGTATTCAGAATCAGAATCAGTTTTATTGCCAAGTGTGCTTCACACACACACACACACACACACAAGGAATTTGTTTTGGCTAAAGAAGCTTCCAGTGTACATAAAGTGACGAGTGACAACACAAAATAAATATAGAAAAAAGAAATATGATATACAATAAACAGAGAAGCAGTTAGTCAAGAAATCTGGATGTTGAATTGTATGTACAGATTTGGTATAAACATGTAAAACTAATACAGATTTGTTATAAATATGTAAAACTAATAAACACTTGTTAAAAAAAACTCAATACTATTTAAGAAATAATAATTACAACAAATAATAATAATAATAATAAAAATAAAAACTAATCAAAAATAGTATTCAAAATTTCAATAATTTTGGGACTTTAATAAAAGGTTTATATATATATATATATATATTTATTTTGTATCACCTATAATTTGGGGTCTCTTGAACTGAGAATACTTTAGGTTTAGTAGATCCATTTTCACCCAAATAATCAACAAAGAATTGCTCGTTTTCAAGTGTAAATGTTGTTCTGTTTTTCATAATGAATAATAAAACATTATGGAGAAAACAACTGTGAAAAAATAATGCACATCCTTTTTTAAATTATTATTTTTGTATATATTTTGTTTCTTTCTTTCTGTACAGTGGATCAACTTTTTTTTAAATCTACAAAAAATACATTTTAAAAGTAGCCTAATTAATTAAAACAAACAAAACCCATAATTACAATTAATGATTAAAAGTTTGTAAGATAAAAGCAGATTTCCCAAATTGAGAGAACATTCCTTTTTGAAATAAATGTTTGAAAAAAAAGACGAACAAATTTATTTAGCAACATAATTTGATTATGGATGAAATGTACTTCTGTAGCAAATATTACACAGCCAGAAACCAGTTACAAAGAAAAGTAAAAAAAAAAAATAGAAAAAAAAGAAAAGGTGTCTTTATGCAAAGGAAGAACATCGTTAACACATTCAGAAACATCGACCACAAGCAAACAGTAGTTGCTGATCACAATTTATTTCCAGTTTCAGATTTCAGTTGATTTGCATCATACACTGACAAAGAAATTCATATAAATCAATCTGCAATTCACTCAGACTTTTATCAGTACTTCTATCAGTCAACTGTCTACTAGCAGTGATGTGAATTAACTATTTTTCAATGTGAAATACATTATAATCTAAGCTAACAATTTGTTTTAGTGTAGCTCAGTTTAAGATTCATCACTGTCAGCTTGCTCTGTATCTTCAATGTAATTTACAATATACTATATTTAATGTAAATCATGTAAATATTTCCATTATACAAAAGCAAAAGTTTAAAAATGGTTTTAAAAATACTTTCTACGAGATTTGTTGATTTCATATTGAGTTTACTTTTAGACATTTATGATCCATGATATGTCTGAAGCTTAAGCAGATCCTTCCACATTAGTTCACTTACTAATGGATGATCGTGGTGCAAATGTCAGTTGAATGTCTTTTTTAAAGTTCTGCTGTTAAAAAAGTAATAAATAATATAAATACAAATAATAAAGCAATATTAATTAAAATGTACCCTATAAAATACACAACAAAATAAATGAATGTAAAGCTTTTATTTTGCTACACGTTTCCTCTGAGTTGATTTGTTCTACTTACAAAAACTGCAGAACTTTTCTTCGCACCCATGGTTGTCTGGGATCAGAGCAGAAATGCCCTCGATCAGTCTCAAAACTTTCAAAGAGAATAAAAACATAAATAAAATGATAATTAAAGTCATATGCTGTTGAGCTCTAGACTAAAAACTATGAAATATAAATATGTAACATTAAATTGAATGTTTTCAAATTAAAAGGTTGATTTTTTTTCCAATAATGTTATTTCTTAAAAAAAATGTAATCACTTCTGATCAAAAATAGGTTTTCTGAAATTCTTACATGATGGCCTTCACACATGGAATACTTTCAGGTTGTATCCTTACACTGATGATAGGATCAGTCACCACTACTGTGGAGACAATTATTTCCCCTTTCCTCAAAGGCATTTGTAAAGACTGAAAAGCAAGGTAGTTGTTGTGAAGTTTTACTGATTAGTGGGATTCAAAGAATGAAGTTTTCACATTTTACAGTATTTTCTCACACAGTTTCTCCATACAGTCAGATTCTTTTGAAACAGCACACAAGGCATTTTTTCAGGGCATTATGACAGCATGCTTACTGACAGATTTGAACACAGCCACTCAAAAAGCATAAATAAAAAAAATACAAATCTGAACAAGTTTTTAATAAATAAAATATTTAAATAATTGATTACTAATTTAAATAAATCATTTATTATTTGGACAAAAATACATGTAAGGGATACTCAACCTCTTAAAAATTTTTAAATGCAAGATGTGGAGGCAAAGAGCTGCGCAACACGAAGCAGACGTTGATAATCCTCATTACTCTGTGGTCATTTGCCAAGTTAAAGAGACGTTAAAACTAGTTTTATTTTTTGCATTATAGTACTTACTTAAGCTTAGTCAGTCATGACATGATAGATCTCTCAGTGCCCACTTTAAATCAGCCACAGGCAGACATGTTGTGTGTGTGCATGTAAATGATACAACCATATCTAACAGCTCATAGTAACACGTGTTAGCTACTTCTTCACAAACATTTTTGAGCATATTGGTAAGCTGATTGATCTCCATTGGCTCTCTTGTGAAGCACATGTTGAGATTACTCAGAGGAATTAATGCTCTGGCAACTGTTAGTTCCTGTGGTTACTATTAATTTTTGAGGGGAACACATTAATTTCAAACTGTGATCAAAACTGACTGAAGTTACCTGTACATTAAACGATTTTAATCAACTTCCAGCCAATCAGAACCACAAATTTCAATAGACCATGGAATAATTCCAAATAAAGCCTCTTCCTGAGTTTTTTGTGTGCCTTTCACAAAAGAAAAGAGTGTGCTGAGTTTTTGCTGTGGCCTGAGGTTGTGGTAATTTTTCATGTCAAGGGTGAAAATCTGACTCATGATATCACCATGAGTTTAAAGGGTTAAACTGGCATATTGCTGTCACACTTACGTGTACATACTTGACCACAGTGGCACTTCCCTGACATTTTGTCTTGTTTATGGTAATTTTAATTTTTGTGTGTGCCTCATACTAGACTTTTAAAGCATGTTGGCATCAATTAAACAAATCATATTAATCATAATTAAAATAAGCAACTTTACAATGATCAGTGGATTATTATAAAGTAGTACTATAAAATATAAATTCAGTAATAATACAGATATCCTAGAACTTACCTGAAGCTTTCTGTGATGTAACAAGAACTGTCATCATCATCAGAGCTAACTTTAACAAATATTCATCATGTTTTGTGAAAAATACCAAGATAAAGACAAGAGGAAGAAGTCTTCAGACTAGTTTGTTGTGAAGACGCTGCTACTACTACTTCTTCTTTGGGTTTTAATGGCAACTTACATATTGCATTACTGCCATCTTCTGGAGATAATTACTTCATGTATCGTATCCAGCCTTGCTAATGGGCTCTATGCACAGCTCGAGTTTTAAAGCCTTTAAACTTCTGGTGAAAGCTCAACGTGAATATTTTTAAATTTCACAAGGTTGTTTTTATAGCATCAAGGTTGTAATGTACATGCATTACATTCAGTTACATTGACTTAAGCATTCATTTAGTTGTTCAAGTGTAAAACGAGATAAAATACCGCTGTAACCACTAGCGCCGTCAGTTGCAACAGGTTAGCGCAGAAATTGCTTAGAAAATACTGGGGTAAAATAAACTGTCATATTTTAAACAAATGGCAGGGGGAAATGGATTTTAATGCAGTGCTCCTTGTCCGATCTGAGATCCACTACATCGCATGTCTAATATATCGTATGTCTAACAGGCAGTGAAAATGTCTTAAACGTAACAGTTTTGTAA